CACAATTAAAAAAAAAAAAAAAAAAAAAAGAATTAATTCCCCAATTTGTTTTAATCAAAGATTGTTTTCTTATTTGTCATTAACACTAGAGTGGGAAAAATTGTTTATTTTTAGAAATCACTAAATAGTTTCTGGCTACTGCACGGTATGATGAATTTAACTATTAGTTTTTATGACTTGAAACCTTTGGAGATCTTGTTCAACACCTTAAACCCTAATAACACTGAAGTTTGGGGTGGGGTGTTTTGGTTTTGGGTTTTTTTAATATGAATGTGATAAATTACAAGAAAGATCTCTATCAGTTACATGATAAAATACAATTTTTAAATACAAAGGCTATCTCATCCTTGGGGAAAATCTAAATCAGATTGGGAAAGAACACTAAAGGCTCCAGCAATTCGGATGCTGAAAAAACATTAAAGTATATATGTTCTATCAGCATTCATGTGCAATGCAGGTGTCACGTGTACTCACTGATTTTTTTACATTGAATTTCAGCTAAACATGGATTTAGAAAAGTGAGCAGATAACTATGACATACTGTTCATTAACATGAGTCTGTCAAGGCTATTTAGCTATTGTATTACATGCATATTTGTTTAACATCAGCATGATAACGGAGTAATTTTTTAAGCTCAGAAAATATATAGCAAAGTCACTTGATAATTTATGTTACTTCAAGTGGAATGAATGCAATTTGATGCACACCTATGTTTAGTCTACAAATCTGTGATGATCTGGATATTTTTAGCTAGATTTCCTGTCTAGTTTTATAGTTATTTAGACAGAGACTAAGATACTAGATTTTAGCAGATGTAATATCTCAAATTCTAATTTATCATAACTTTACCAGAGGAGGCCATGAAATTTCTAAGTGCTATTCTCTATGTCAAATCCTGTTTGCTGTCATGAAGAGGTTGCACTCCTTGATAAGTAATGATATCATCCTAAAACCTAGTACACTAGTTGAAGTAAGAAAAGAAACAAAAAATTAACACAAGTTTTGCCAAGTAGCACCAACTTAACATGTTTTTTGATGAGCATATAAGTAAATTGCAGCAGAGGATAGTAAGAAAAATTCAGTCAGAGTACAGGCGAGGACAACCATTTCAGGAAAAAAAAAAAAAAAAAAAAAAAAAAAAGGGAAAAAATCCTCCCTAAGAGTCAAATCTCACAATAGCTACCATGTTTCTATCATATTTCATATTTTTAATCCTTTAACATCTTATTTGCTTATCGTAACTGTTTTGTGAAAAAAGGAATTTATTCTTGGATCTTTTTAATTCAAAAGCTGAGAAAGCAATTGAATGCCTCACTACGTAGTCATCCACTAATTTTTTAAAACTTAAAAATGGACTGGATTTTTATCTCCGATGCACCTGTTGCCATCTACAAGAATTCTCCACATCATCGCACTGCTTAGCCTGTATTAGAATGTGCCCCCAGGGGCCTCATAAGAGGAGAGTGAGACACACTTAGCTTCAGAATAGTGAACACGATCTCTTTGCCAACTTTATTCTACATGGACATAAACAGGGCTAGTGGTTAGGCCACTCTTCAAATTTACAACAACTGCAATGAAAGAATTTGTTGTTCTTTTGTTAAACTAAAAAATAATTACATAGATATCACATCTAAATATACTAACAATATACATTAAATCAGTATAAACTTAGAAAAAAGACAGTAAGAAACAGAAAATCTTTTACCTGGAAAATACTGTATTGACCTATTTATCACTTTTAGCTCAAAAATAGCATCACATTTATTCGATAGAACTTGGAAATAGAATAAACTAAAAACATTTTATCTAGTTGTGCAGAGCCCAATTCTATTGTCAGATATGCTTTATAGCATTATTCTAATTAAATTTTCAATGCGCAACATGATAGCTAATATCAGAGCCTTTGCAGAATCAGATATAACACTTTTTTCACATGCTGTTCCTTCAAAACATTAAAGGCACATTTTTAACTACAATCCACCTGAATTCCTATAAATACATAACAATGCTCTAATAAGAGCATTCTGCAAATACAGCGAGATTAAAAAAAAAGGCTTAAGTCTATTTGTGTACGTTTAACTTTCTGCATTGTATCCTGAGAAGTACGACCCAAAGCTACGTTCATCCACTTATGTAAATACTCAGTGCATTTTTAATCTACAAAAAATAAGAACATAAGCACAGATATGAAAAATATATTCAAAGGGAGAGCTATTGGAAGTATTACTCAAAATCAGAATTTATGTTTTAGAGAAACATTCAGACGACATGAAAAAATATAATATTTTATTGATCTGGTAAAAAAAAAAAAAAATGAAGTTTTAGTTATGACGAATCTTCTGGCACTTCTACGATGCACAGAAATCTTACGGCACATAATTCTTTCAGCCTACAGAAACGTGTTGCTTATCTATAAGCATACTAATACACCCACCAGAAAATATCTAGTACTTTGCATTTTAAATTTTGATACATCTAACATGCAATAAACATTCAACTACATTGACAGCTCTGCAGCGTTTCAATAAGCTTCACTCCACTTGGCTTTCTAATTACTTCAAAATTATGAGGTTAGAATAGAGAAAAGAAGGTCTAAAAATGAAGAATAAAACTGAGTAGCAAATCCAGCATGTGATAACATAAATTGCACAAAATTATAGGGGAGACAAAAATACGTATATTGAACAAGAAATTATTGCACAAAAACAAAATAAAGATGCTTTCTTTTTACTCTGTATCATCCAAGTATGTTTAATTCCATAGTGGTGCAAGCTGTAAGAAAAGAACATGAAGTAAGCAGAAATATATTTTAGTGTAAATGGAAAACTGCACAGTAGGAACACTACAAAATGCTGCTGAAATACTAAAAAAAAATATTTTAAATGGAATGATCCTGTTTTTCTCTGTTCTACTATGATATAAACACATAGTGGTATAACCAAAAGCTGCTTATTCATTGGAGAAATAGTAAAGATGGGTTTCATCTTATTTCCATCTAGACACCCAGAAGTCAGGCAACACCACCCCCTCTGCAAAACATGGAGGCAAGCATTTCTGGAATTTAATTCTTCCTCTGTTGAACCAGATTGAAGATCATAGTAAATTTTTTTCCTCTTGACTACAACGGTAAGTTACCTAAAGCTTACAAAATTTTAATTTTACACAAGCCTAAATTTTACACAATTAAAGATAGGTAAGATGGTCCCCAATCTAGTCGGGGGACTGATTTTTAGGAACTAGTGGCATCCATGAAAGTAGACTGACCAACTCTAGTTGTCATATGAGCTCTGTTGCAGGACAGAAATTATGGTACCCTCTTTAAGAATGTGTTAGCTGAAGGCTTCGTTGAGGGAAAATGGAGGCACGTCAGAGGAAGTGAGTCACACAATGCGTATAAATGCGAACATTTATATTCACAGGAAGACGTTTTTAAGGGTCAAAAAAACAAAACAAAACCACACAGAAAAAAAAAAATACCAGCCTCTGCTACAAGACATTGCTGTGATGCTGAGAACTTTTAAAGCTAATATTTTTAAAGCATAACCGTTTACAAATGTTTGGGAAGATAAGCAGGGGTAAATTAAGTCATCTGAAATCTTTGTGATCTTTAAGTTCATAAGCAAGGTACTGTATTATTAACGAGAAGTCAGAGTCCATACCGTGATATACGTGCAAAATAAATATATACAACAAAACACAGAATCTATACAACTGAACACCTTGTTATGGAATCTAGCAAGAAGAGAAAGTGCTGAGGTATGCGAATGGTGGTGTCACTAAGCATATTCCAAGAGTTCTTCATTCAACCATCTGCAATCCCATAGAGCACAAGGAATACAGTGTTTCAAGAGGCTCCATGAGTGTGAATAACAGATTTTTCTTCAGCTGTAGTACTTGCTACATAATTTGGAATGAATCCTTCACATTTCCTGAGTATCCGCTTGCCCATTTGAAATTGTAACGCTTATTCACATTACAAGATATGTTGCAGGGGTCAGTGTTTAAAAAATGCTCTGAGATGCACAGGTAACAGGAAACACAGTAAGTGCAGAGCATTATGCCAATGTACGCTACACTGTATTAATACAGAATACATAATAAGTAAGGAAATATATTGAAGAATGACCACAGCAAATATTCATAACGGACAAACTAACAAATTTCTGTTCCACAGGTATTTCTTTAAGGGCAGTAACAGTGGAGAAATTCTGCATCATTCAGTGTTCAACAGATCACTGAATCACACAATCACACTTCCATTTGCAGACTGTGGTGATCTAATGTTATCACACTGAGATGTCAAATAAAATATCCTGGACTACTGGCTGAAAAAGTATCAGTAAATGGTTTTACTTCTATAGTTCATGTGGTTCTCTCTATATGACTGTGTTTTCTCCTTTCTGACATTATGATTCCATACAAATAAAAAAAAAAGTTACCTGAATTTCCCTTTTCTAGAGCCAGCTAGAGGCTCATATCCCTTTTCATGGGGTTCATATCCCTTCTGCCAGTGTGACAAAAGAACAATTGCAAAGCTTTATCAGAACATTTAATTTTTACTACTAAATAAATTTAAGCTCTTACTGGTAACTTTTCTT